CCCCGCGCCCGCCTCAACCGCCTCGGCCGGCCGGAGCGCCGCGCGGGCGGCCACGGCGGCGCGGGCGGCCGCTTCGCGACGTTCGACCATCTGCGCCCGCCGCCGCCGCAGCTGCCTCGTAAACAGCAGCTGCGGCTGAGTCATCTCCGCCTGCTCCCGAGCCTGCTCTGCCGCCGCGGCCGCGGCCGCTGCCCCGCCGGCGCCGCCGCCGCCAGCGACGCCGCGCGCGGCCGACCTGCGTGTCCAGACGCCCCCGGCCGCCCACCCTGCATCACCGGTGACATCGGCAGCGGCGGCACAGGCGGCAGCCCCCCACGGCTCTCCGTTGCCCTCCAGCTCTTCGAGGCTCTCGTGCAGCGGCCGGCTGGCAGGGCGGGACCCAACCTCCCGCTCCCACCGCTCGCACTCCGCAGACCCAAACACGCCGCGGCGCTCCGCCGCCCCGGGCGCATCCGCAGGCGCCCACGGCCGCGCGCCGGCGGCTCGGGGCGGCGGGGCGATCAGCCGCTCGCGTGCCTCGGGCCGCGTCGCCGCCGACACGCTGGGGCTCACGCCCCGCACGTCCTCCTCCCACCCCTCCTCCTCCCCGCAGCCCTCCGCCGCCGCCTCGTCCTCCGCGCCGCCGCCGCGGGCCGCACCCGAGCGGCCCGGCGGCAGCAGGCGCGCGGCCGCGGCGGCGGGGGGGCCGGTGAGGGCGGTGGGCGGCAGCAGCTGCCCGACGGCGCCGACGTAGCGCAGCGCTGTGTACCACCGTCGGTCCTCCCGCTGCAGCTGCTGCTTGCCCCTCAAGACGAGCAGCAAGTACCTGCTTTCGGGAATAATAAGTGCATATGGAGTTTGAATTATGCATACTGGGTCGTTTGGAGAGCTAGGGTTGGCTGTGTGAGGTCAAAAGCGTTGACATACAGTCAGCTTTGCGGGTGCGAGCGGAGAGCGCAAGAGCGGCCGGGGCGGGGCGGCCGGGCAGTGCGAGCCGCTTCGCAGGCGCGGCGGATGCAGGCGCGAGGCGCGCGCGTCGCTGCGCGTGTGCATGGGCCCGCGCCTGGCCGGCGGCGCGTCGCGCCAGAGGGGGAACGTCTGCAACGCATCACTGGGCAGCACGTCCAGCCACGGGCCCCCCGGCCGCAGCGCGCAGGGCGACGCGCCGACCCAGGCCTGCAGCTGGCGAGGGGGGTAGACGGGGTGCCTGCGCAGGGCCGCGGCCGCCGGGGCGCGCGACGCGGGGCGTGTGCAGGTGGAGGGGTCGAGTGCGGGAGCTGGGGCGGGCCCGGGGCTCCGAGGAGGCGGGCATGGCGGCGGACATTTGGGGCGGAGGGGGCGGGGGCGGGCAGCCGCAGGATGGGGTCGCTCAGGACCCTGCTGCCACGCGGTGCCAGGGCCGAGGCTGAGGGATTAGTCCGACACCCGCAGATTGATCCATAGATGACATCACCGGACGGGCGGCATCAGGGACACGCCCACCCCTCACCCGGCTTGGTAGAGGGCGCGGTACACCGCCACCCGCACGTAGTCAACCCGGCACAGCGGCCCCCGCAGCCGGAACAGCAGCCACTCGCTGCCCCCGCGCCCCTCGCTGCCCGTAGAGGACCAGAACCCCCGGTCGTTCCGCAGCACGCGGCTCGCCGCCTGGGAGTCGTCGTCGGTGGAGGATGCACCCAACGCGGCCTCGACGAGCTGCACGCAGCCGTCAAGCGTGCTCTCCTCCTCCCACGCGGGCCGCAGGACCGCGATCGGCGGGCGCGGCGCGGCGGCGGCGGCGGCGGCGGGGCTGGCGGCGGCTGCGGCGTCGTCGCAGAATGGGAAGTTTCTGAGGTCTTCCCGATTTCGTCCCCGGAAGGCGTTCCTGGGAGGGCGGGAGGCAGCAGCCGGTGGCGGCGCCGGGGCGTGCGGGCGAGGCGCGGCGACGGCGGGGCTCGCGAGCACTTCGCGTAAGTTTTGGCATGCACGGCGGGTGCATTGCTGGCTGGGTCGCGCGGGGCGCACCTGTATTGATGGAAGGGGCCCTCCATCGTCGCCGCAGCGACTGATGCGCGGCTGTGTGTGCGCGCTGCTCTGTTGCAGGCTTCGCACCCACTCGCAAAGGTTCAAGGCGGCTGCGACCAGCCCTTATTAAGATCAGGTGACAAGCTCGGAAACTTGGAAAGGAGCCGAATAGCAGTACAGAAAGATCGACACACACAACCACAAACTTGATCTCCAGTGACCTGCCCGGTAAGCTGGCACGCGATAGAGGTACTTTAAAATTACCGCAACGGTGTTGCCAGTACGATGGTATACGCCAGCCTTTCTGTTGCTTTTCCGCAAGTTGAGGGGTGTGGGGTGCCCCAGCTGCTGACTGTGTCAGTGCCTAGTGTTGCGGTTCTGCGAGCCAATGCGAGGGCAGCTCGCATGCTCGCCCTTTCCAAAAGGTTTCACAGCCATTGTTTTTCTTATCAGGGGGGTTTAGTCGCCTTGGGGGGGCGGGCGGGACAAACAACGCCTACAAGCGGCCAGTACGGCTCTCACATCCACATTCGCCTGGTGAGCAGCTCTTTAGTACTCTAAAGAGCCTGCATGGACGCTAGCCGGGCCCTGCCGGCCTCTTGTGAGGACGCTGGCTGGTACCAATCCTGGGAGATCGCAGGCCGCGTCTCCAGCAGGCTCTTCTTCCAGCCAGAGAGCAGGGCAGCTTCCGGTCGACCGGGTTGCCACGGGATGCTCCTAGGACTCGACGGTTGCCCGACACTGATTGCTGCATCGCATCAACGCAAGGGACCCTCAACCCCCGGCACCATGCGCGCGCGCCCTCCACCACCCCGGCCACGCAGCATGGGCCGCCTCTCAAAGAGGACCATCCAGTGCCGCGCCGCCCGCCAGCAGCGCCTGCTGAAGCAGCAGGCCGCCGCCGCGGCGCTCGGCGACAGCCGCGCCCCCGGCGCCGGCGCGCAGCGCCCGGCGGGCCATGCTGCCGCCGCCGCGCACGCCCCGGCCCGCTCGCCCTCGGCGCTGCTTCTGCGCAAGCTCGGGACGGCCAGCCTGCAGCGCTACCTGCAGGCCCACTCCATCGATTTAGACCCGGAATGCGCCGCGGACAAAGAGGAGCTCGTGTCCGCAACTGCCCGCCACTTCAGCATGTCCGAGGTGGGCGCCCTCCCCGCGGCCGCGGCCCGCCCCGCGGCGCCGGCGCCGCTGCCCTCACCGCCGCGACACCCGTCACTCGACGCCGCGCAGCTGCGGCGGGTGCGAGATGGAGCCGAGCCAGCGAGCAAATATGCAGCTCGTCCTGCCTGATCCTTCCCCCGTGCTTCCCACCCTGTTTGGACCAACCCCTGCACCCATCCTCGACCCGCGGCACCAGGTGGATGAGTCAGCGGTGCTGATCAGCTTTGTGAGGGCGCTGAGGCGCGACAGCTCCTCGGAGAGCAGCTGCTGAGAAGCTGCCCACGTGCTTTCTGTCCGCGCCGGGGCGGCCACCGGTGCTGCCTCCCGGCAGGGCCCCGGGCGGCGTTTGTGGGGGGGGTTGGAAGCCCCCAGGAAGGCAAGGGGCAGCTTCTTGGCATACCCCAGGCAGCTTCAGGGCGGTCGGGCCGCCCATCGAGCAGATTGCGCGTCCGCATTTCGGTGTGCAGCGTCTGTGTCTGGCAACAGGTCGTGCCCAAAATTGCCAATGCCGTCCGGCTCAAACGACACTGCAAAAGCGCCTCGGCGCCGTTGTTCCTGCGTGCCTGTTTGCATGCAAACCGTGTGTGTAGGCGCCCGTGCGCGCAAGGCCGGGCGGCCGTGCGGCGCGGTGGCGCGTGTCCCGGCCGCTCAAGGCCCCGGTTTCGCAAGGGGAAGCGCTGCAGTTGGCAACCGCGCCACGCTCAGCCGCAAGGGGCCAGCGAGGCTGCTGTGCCGGCCTGTCCCAGCCACCCCTCTGCGCGCCGCACGCCCGCCGACCTGACCCGTCCCTGGCAGCCGCCCCGAGCGCCGCGGCCGCCGCGCTGCGGCCGCCGCGCCGCGCGCGGCCGCGCGGGCCCCCAGTTTTGACCACTCGTCGCGTTTTTTGGGTTGCGTCCCTGCAGGCAGCTTCGCACCTTTTGCTTTCCCCCTCCTTTCCGCCCCGTTTGAACCGAAGCCTCTCGTCGGTTGCGCGCACCCGCACGTGCCAACTGCGCGCGCAAGCCGACGTCGCAAACACTGCAGCTCCCCGCCCCGCGCCGCGCCCCCACTCGCGGCGCGGCCGCCTGCGGCCGCCCCCTTCGGCCTCCCGTCCCGCTCGCTTGAGGGGCGCAGGGCTGCGCAGCCGCCTGGGCTGCCGGGCTGCGCCCGTCCCTCAACCAACCGCCGCCGGCCGGCTCTCATAGGTGCCGCGCTGTTTGCTGGAACCACACATGTGAAGAAACAGGGGTGTGCCAGTTCTTGTATTTCGGTCGATCGCAGTTTTCCCCTCCCCGCGAGCGACGTCGATTTTGGATACGGGGAGCGTTTGTTTGTGTGAGCCACGGTGCATCCAGGTCCGATTGCAAATGCCGCGCCCGCCGCGCGCCGAGCGAAATGCGCGCGCCGGCAGCGCCCAGCGCGCGGCGACATTCAGTGTCTAAACGGCTGCCGCCTCGGCACGCTGCGAGCCTGCCGGCCGAGCGCTGCGTGCAGCGCGCGAGCCGGCGCCGCTTGTCGCCCTTGGTGGCCCTTGGGCGGCACAGGATGCGCCTCGCGCGCGCGTGTCCCCACTGTGTTTGCAATTATGTGTGGTCTCGTATGTTTTTGGCACGCAGCAGCTGTATGTGCACACGACACAACTTTTTTTTGGCCGAGAGACAGTCCTCCTCCTAGGCTGTACGTTGCTGTGCAGTTGCCAAAACTTCCAGCATTGGCGCAGTTGTTAACAAATTTGCAAGCTGGTGTGCCTCATGAGATGAGTCCTGATGGCGTCGTCGCTGCAGCAGCCAGCACAGCTGGGAAGGGTTCTGCTGGGTGCTGCATGCAGGGCAGGGGCAGGGATGCGAAGGTTGCATGTGGTGTATGCGTGTGCGTGTGCGTGTGTGGATGTATGTGTGTGTGCGCGCGCACGCGCGTGTGTGTGTGTGTGTGTGTGTGTGTGTGTGTGTGTGTGTGTGTGTGTGTGTGTGTGTGTGTGTGTGTGTGTTGGTGGTGACCAGCATTTGCGTGCGGCAGCATTACAGAGGTTCAATGCTGGCAGCTGAGTGCCGATTGGGCCAGGAAATAGGCCGCCTCCGTGGTGCTGCCGCAAGCATGGCGCCGCTATTTGAGGCGGCCCCCCGTGGCTGGGCAGCGCTGGAAGCTTCTGGGGAACGGAATGGATGCACCCAGGATGCTCGAGCATGGTCGGCCACTGCTCTTGCTTCTGCTACCGCTCCAGCTTCCACGCTCATACGCCAGGCAAGCGCGGAGTCCGGGGTCCCTGTACGTCGCGATATCCACCGTCTGCAATACGGCTGTTGTGCAGTGGCCACGGCCTCTGAAAAGCACGAAGGTGCGCGAATTCGACAGCGCATTTAGGGGTTTAGGGACGGATACCCAGCAGCTGCATGATGGGGAGCCTGCGCGCCCCGCCCCTGCCGCCCGCCGCACGCCACCCCGCCTCCACGTAAAACGCCTTCTCTGCCTCCAAGAGCCCCTCCACCGGCAATTCTGGAGCAGGCACGACCCCACTCGCCGCGCGCCCTGGTCTGTCAGCTGAACCCCCAGCAGTTGCCAGCGCTGGCGCCGCCGCAGCCAGTATTTCGACACAAGTGCGTTACAGAATTCGCAAGGGCAGAGGGTCGGCAGAGGCCTGGCGGCCCAGAAAGCGCGGCGCAAGGGGCGCTGCCGCGCTGCCAAAGCGCGCAAAGCATGCAGGATTGCGACGCGTGTCGCGTCGCGTCCCCGCCTGTTGGCAGCCCCTGCGCTGTGCCATGCCAACCCTCGTCCCGCCAATCAAAATGCCTCGATCTGACAGTCACCGATACTTCCACACCACAGCAGCGCGGCTTGCGCCGCGCACTACGACTTTGAACAAACAAGCACGAGCGAAGGCGCCGCCGCGGACGCGAGAGCGGGGCGCAAGCGTGCGGGGCAGAGCGCATCGGACAAGCACAAGCACATGCCAGCAGTGCACATGCGCCGCCGCCGCCAGCACCCGCGGCGGCGATTTGCATTGACAAAAAGTCCTCTTTTACGACCCACCAGCAGCTGGCCAGCCGCCCGGGTCGCCGGCGCGACGCCGCCCCGACGGTCGTGACAAGCCGCCACACAAGCAGCGCGCGGTGAGCGTGCGCGCAGGCATGTGCAGACGCCACCAAACGCATGCGAGGGCGAGGGAGCGACCCATGAGCCGCAGCCCAATCTCAGGCACCGCCTGCTGCACACGACGCAGCCTTGTGGCGCCCACGACGCGCAGAGCGGCCGGCCCAACGCCGCAGCCATCAGCCGTCGCGCCCCGCCGGACCGCGCGCGGTGCCAGCCCCCCATATGATGTTCGAAACAGCCTGGCGCAGGGTCTCGCGCGCGTGAGGCCGCGCGCCGACCCCGCCGCCGCTCGTTCGCGGCCCCGCCTCT